TAAAACGCCTTTATCAAGTGTTTACCGGTTCTCACAGTTTTGGCTCTAATTAGATTTTAACGAAATCGTCAGATTTGGTTTTAGGTGTTTTAATTATCTAGGGACTTATGTTTAATTTGAATTCGACTATTAAAATTCTTATTCCATTCCATACTTACTTCAGACTTAAAATGTCTTATCTGCTGTTATTGTTTGTCACAATGAACTGCATTTTCAATTGAATTTACATTTTCTAGTAACCGCATTTTAAAGTTCATTTTCCTAAGAAATGTAAAAACAAGAGCAGCTTCTTAATTTAGCTGAATTATTGGAGGCTGAAAATTAATTTTTGGTATAGAAAAACAAATGAGAATACAAACAAATTTGAACTATTGTTTTGTAGAAACTTGGAATACAGGGTCTTTGAATTTGAGTTTACTAGCGCTTACTAAGATTTGTCGATATTTTTAGGCTGTTTGATATGAAATAGAGCAGATTAACTACAACAGTTATGTGGAATATAAAAATACTTAACATGGATTGCAATATATGACAGTAATTAAGTTGGTAACATCAAATTTGCTAACATTGCTAAAAAAAATAATATGTAATTAGCGGAGAATGTAATCAAACGAAACACGTCTGGGCAGAAAAATCAACAATGTAATCGCGTTTCCCATTGGGCACTTGAAATGATGGCAGGCCGAAAATGAGAGCTCCAACCCTTTTGCCATAAATAATTAAAGTCTGGCAATTTGTACGCTGTAATCAGCAATTACGAGCAGTGAAGTGATACGACCAATTCGTTTTCGAGCGAAATGCAAGTACGACTTTTAATTAATTTGTGCGTGCTTTCATTTAATTTCCGCCACCAATTATTGAAATAACATTTTGCTTATTTGACCCAGAATGCTAGATTTCAGCCTGAATGTCTCTTTTCATTTACAGGATTGTCTGATGCTTTGGCCAAGGGACTGCTCACAGATGACTTTATAACCGGGGCCCGTATTTTGGCCCTAAATCTGACGAATGGAGCAGTTCAGTCGTATGTTTGGTGGGTGAAGGGGGCTCAGGCGGAAACGCAGCGTTACGACGATGACGGTCTGCAGATTGGCAAAAAACCCGCAGGCAGCTATCCCTGGTAGGTACCAAAAGTCCAGTGTTGGCTGAATTTTAGATTGGATCCACAAACACTTATATACAAATTCCAAGAACATATTAGAGAAGTTGGAAGGAAATGAATTTAATTTCTAAGTAATTATTGGGAATTTTACTTTAGCTTAGTAGTCTACAAGTAATAGATCGACTAAAATTTCTATGAAGATTTTAAGGTCTACTCTCAACCGCTTATACTACGCGTTTTGGTGCACATAAGGTGTGGTCTTAAAGTTATGTTAACTTGTATACGTAATTTGTAAGAAACTTTGAGGCCACCAAAACTTTAAATACAATTTTTTGGTTTTGAAATACATTTAATGTACACCAAAATCATTAACGTTCGGTTTGAACATCTAAATGAGCATGAATTTAAATGAATTTCCATTTAAATTCAGATCAATTTAACTTACTAAAAATGCAATATAAAATTCGTTTAAATATAAAAAACAATATCAACTATTTTATTCTCGTTAACTTAATTTTACAAAGCTCTATTGACTTCTTAAGCTTACGTCTTGTTATGCGATAATAATACTTTCTTTGTAATTTCAAACTAAGCTTGTAGTTATATCGATATCTAAATATATTGACTTCTGTAAAAATTTAATCACAAGAAAGCAAACAATAAGTTAAATGCTAAAAACTAATTCAAAATATTTATCAATATATTATATTAGCTATGAGCTAAAGAGACAACACTGCCACGCCCTCCTCCTTCACCGCCTGTATTCATTTTGAATCTCCTGCACAGGTTCGACGATGAGACCTCCTCACCCACCCTCCGCTCGCCGAAATTCGCGCCCAGTCCGCCCAACAACTACTACAAGGGCTGGTGGACCTTTCCGTACTTCTCGTGCTCCCTCAGCCGCTGGCTGGTGTCCTACAGCATCGCCATCCCGCCGATTGGGCGCCACGGGCTGAGGGGCTTCATCAGCATCGACATCGACGTGTCCACGCTGCGGGTTAACCAGTGCGAGGCGGAGCCCTACCAGTTCGGCAGTCGGCGCCAGAAAATGCAGCAGCTGCAGCAACAGCTCCGGTCGACGACGCGGAGGCTACCATTCCTGGGCGGCAGGATGGGAGTCCTTGAGGGCACCATCAACGATCTGCAGGCCTTCCACAGCTCCCACAAATGTCATCGCACCTCCATGGTGGTGAGTGATTCGAAGCTTCATAAAGGGTTTGAATTAATAAATAGCCCTGATTTTCTTTCGGTCCAAAAATATATGTAGTCTGTACTAAAATTGCATTTCTAAAAGGGTTCAAAGTTTAAATAGTCACTTAATTTAATACATTTGAACACCCTTACAAATTTTTAAATAAATTGTTATACACTCTTATAATGTCATAAACAAATTTGACAAAGCAGTAAAGAACATCGTTCCTTATTTTTATCGTCCGCCTGTCTTCCTGTTTTTCCAAATACAGTTTTATAACTATTTGGATAAAGCTTAAATAGGACAATAATAAAAATAATTACAATTTTTAACATATAAACATAAAACTGAAGATATTTTATTTTAATGGTATTTTTTACGATTTCAAACTTACATTTTTTATTTTATAAAAATCGATGAAGTATCAGATACCTAGACATAGGCCCGGTCGACAAATTGGTCTGAAAAGCGATAAAGCTTCATTTTTCCTAACCAAATTCCAAATTTGACTCATCTTTGTGTCTTTAATATCTTCAAGGAAAAGTATTCTTTATATAGCTTGTTATTTGATAAGGCCATCTCACCCTCTTAACAATAACTCTACTCTGATTTCATTTAAGCAAATTACAATATATTTATTTGTATATAAAGGCAACCATTTAATATTGATAAAAATGGTCCGAAAAGCCTATATTTTGTTCAACTTTAATTGATTTTACCTGCTGCGGTTGAATAACCTGAGTGTATTTGTTTGCCTTTTGGCAGTGTGACTACCGTCAGCCGAGTGCAGAGGCTCCGACAATAACCGGGGGAAAACTACTGACCACCTTGAGCGGGAGCAGCAGCTGGGCCAGGGGATCCTACCAGTGCCTCTGCCGCGCGGGATTCTACTCGCTGCGGCATCCGGACGGATTCAACGGCACCATCATGGAGATTGCCTGGCAGGAGCAGCAGGACAATATAAGCAATTACTACACGGACGTCTTCAAGTGTTTGGCCTGCGCCCCCGGCTGCGACACGTGCACGGGTCCGGAGCCATGTCTGGCCAACTACCACTGGCCGTTCAGGTGGGTATCCGTGATTATTATCCTTGATTGCCAGTGATGGGGGGAGCTTAAACTATAGTGCTACGTTTACTGCGAGGTATTGCAAAAGGTGTTAAATGGAACTTCTTAGTAACAAAATAAGGATGGGTGCAATGAAATTGGTTGAAAAACTAAACTTATGAAATTGTAAAATAAGATTTTCGAATGTAAATGTTCTTTTATCAACAAAATATTTAAGACAATTTAATTGGCAAATTGAAAAATGATTTAACAACACAAGAAGAAACGGTATAGTCGAGTAGCAAGACTATGAAATACCCATTATTCTTTTAACCAATTCAAGATAAAATATTCCACGAACAGAGGGCGCCATTTGCAATTCCATTGGCACGGCAAACCAAAAATAAAGTAACAATCGTGTTTGTCCCTATATGGAATTTATTTCTGATTGGTTGATTTTTATCAAATTTACGTTTAAATTAGGCAACATACTATTAATTTGGCACTAAGTATCAGGAATCTCTTAGTTAGTTAGTTAGGACACTTGTTTTCTAATGTCTGTCTAATTTAAGTGATTATAGTTCCCATCACTGGTGTTTGTTAAGTGACATCAAAACTAAGTATCTTCCATGCCAATGCCTTTCTTTCCCTTAGAATATCCCTGTTGACCATATCCATTGGCTGTGCCTGCGGCACCTTTGTCCTTGCCGGCTATCTCTTCCGGCATCGTCGCGTCAAGGTGTTCAAGGTGGCCAGCCCCATCTTCCTGATGATCACGCTCATCGGCTGCGCCATCATGTATCTGGAGGTGAGTACCCGGGTCATTTGGGGCGACGCTCTTAACCCATTAAAGCGGTTGAAGGCGCAGGGGGAGCTGAACACACAAAGGCCATTTGAAAACAATGTTGCTAATGCGACAAAAGGCCCAACGTGGCCGGCACGCGCTCATTCATAATTAACCCACATGTGTACCCGGCTTGGCTCTTATCCCACTCTTATTTCTGGCGGTAAAGGAATCTGCGAACAATCCACAACATAAAAGTCCCACTTATGGGTTTTTAAATGCGGCTTTTAAGCACTTACTTGTCGAAAGGGTATTCAAGGTTTGACGGTCCAACATGGCGGATGAGTAATATTTTCTTTACTTTATCGCGGTTTGTTTTTATTGAGCTTATTAATAAAATTATTATATTTATTTAAATATCTTTTAAACGAAGTGTACGTTTTCGGATTGGAATACTTTTGAAACTGTTCTTCGCGTAATTTAGTAAAGAGTGTAAAAGATGGGGACTTTAGAGCCACTTATTTTATTTGTACTAATGCTGAAAGGCAATTTAAAAAAATAGTGAATTTACAAATACAATGAAAATAAAAATGTTATGATTTAATCTCAAAAAGAGTATGCATTGTTTACCTAAAGAAAACTTTCGTCTTCCTATTCCCCTCTCGCTGGTTGGCAATTATGTGGCCAACATTAGCTAACCAACAATGCTAAGCCACCCAGTGGACATATAAAACAAGGACCCTCTCCTGAAAAAACAAACACAATGCTAACACACGTAGTTACAAACAATAACGACAAATAGGTTAAGAGGTGGAAATAGAAAAGGAACTGAAAGAGTTGTGCGGCAATAATACTGTACCCGATTTTCTAGTCAAAATGAACAAATTAAAATTCCAAAATAGTTTTGTACATTGATACGAAAGAACTATGAGCAATACTTCACCAAAGAAACAAGATGGGAACTCAAAAGATACAGATTCTGCGGAAGATGATGAGGAGGACTTGCAGGATGCGCTGAAGGAAATGGTAAAAATTCCCGATATTGACGAAAGACCGGGGACAAGTAGACGTCACTTTGAGGTGCAAGATTCCCCTGAGAAGGGTGAACTAAAAAAAAAGTCAACCCGAAGAATAATACAAAAAGACCAAGCCGAACAAGGATCGCAAACCTGTGAAAATCGTAAAAAAGTTAAAAAGTCAAGCACTGATAAAAAAGAACTGGATAGCGATGACAGCTGGGCTGCGCTGTTCATAAAGAGGTTTTCCTGGACAAGGAATCCAACTGAAGCCGTTTCGACCAGAAGTAACGCGGTCAATCCTACTACCAAAATTTCATTAGCGGAGGTCACAGAAAATAATCTCAAAACAGGTGCAACGACTAAAAGCAAATCTTCCACAGAAACTTCAAACGAAAGTCTAATACGAACAGATCACTATGGATATTCAAAATCAAAAACTGGAGAAACCAATCAAAATCAATTAAGTGATGAGGAATCAGGAGATGAATCGGCTGAGTTTCTTGATAAATTAAAAAAAATTGAGGAGGCCTCCAAGCCTAAGTCTTGGAAGAGGCCAACGCCAATAGTCATAAAAGCCAATCCGATTTCTTCTACCACCAAAAAGACTGAGGATGAAGTGCAGGCGAAGCCACGTTCCGACAATGAAGACAAGCATAGGTACATAAATATTTTAAAGGTTCCATTTCATCGTAATCTAAATTATGCTGCAGAAAATGAAACAAACAATCAAACGACAAACAATCAACCTCCTGAAGATGTAGATACTAGGACATCTCCCGAGAAAGTATCATTAGGAAGTCCTCCTCCGAATTCAGCCCTGAAATTCGCACAAAAAAATGAGAATATCGATGGGAAATCAGGAGAAAATCCCAGAGAAATTTCTGCAGAAAATGCGGAACAAAAAAAGCGTGTTAATACCGATTCGCAAAGAACTCTAACAATCACGGGGCATTCGCATATCACCACGAAATGGCAAGATCACTGCCATTTTAGGGATTCGCAGCAAACGGGTTCGGATAAGGTCGCCAAACGGAAACTAATAACCGCCTGCTTTCTGTGTACCATCTTCATGATCATCGAGATTGTCGGGGGAGTCATTTCCAATAGTCTGGCCATCGCCACGGATGCTGCCCATTTGCTTACCGACCTGGCCTCGTTCCTCATCTCCCTGTTTGCACTGTACTTGGCTGGAAGACCCTCGTCGGAGCGTCTGAACTTCGGATGGTATCGGGCAGAGGTCATTGGGGCCATGATATCCGTGTTCTTTATCTGGGTTGTCACAGGTGAATGGTAAATATTGTCCCCGGAAGATCACATTCTCCTAACAATACACTAATTATACTTGCAATGGCAGCCATTATCAGATTTTCCACAAAAAAAATCCAACTCACTTCGAAACTCCCATTATTCAAACTGCAATTAAATATTTTTTGTTTTACAAAAAACTACTATATAAATACAAGTGGCTGAAAAAAGTCCTTGATTGTTTTTGAAATTCTTTACCCCTTATTTTCGATATTTAACCTCCGATCCCATCGCAGGCATCCTTGTGTATATGGCCATTATGCGGTGGGTACACCAAGATTTCGATCTGGAGGCCAAGATAATGCTGATCACCTCGGCATTGGCCATACTATTTAACATAATAATGGCGGTGCAGTTGAACCATGGTCACTCGCACTTTTCCCCGGGAACATTAAGGCGATCGATGGCGATTGGATCGCAGGATCACGTAATGGTGGGAAGATCGGTGTCTGCTCAGTTTTCTGTGAAGGGAGAACAGAACATCAACGTGCGGGCGGCTTTGATCCATGTGATAGGGGATCTCCTCCAGAGCGTTGGGGTTTTTGTGGCCGCATTGATCATATTCTTCAAGCCGGATTGGGCCTTCATGGACTCCGTTTGCACGTTCCTCTTCTCGGTGCTGGTTCTTGTGGTCACATTTAAAATCTTAAAGGACGTACTCATGGTCCTGATGGAGGCAACACCGGACTTCATGGACTACGAGGAGGTGAAGCGAACATTTCTCTCAATTCCGGGCGTAGAGCACGTCCATAACCTGAGGATTTGGGCTTTGTCCATCAATAAGATCGCCTTGTCCGCCCACCTGGCCATTTCGAAGGACGCCGATCCCCAGCTGATCCTCGAGGAGGCCACCACCCTCATCCACAAGCGATACAGATTTTTTGAGACCACCATCCAGATCGAGGAGTATTCGCCGGATATGGAGAACTGCGAGATGTGCTTGAGTCCTTCGGATAAAAAGGAAGATCGAAGGCCATCGGACTTGGAAGAAGGCGTAGGGGGTGGTGACCGGAAAAAGGCAGAAAGGCGGCCATCGGATACAGAAAATGGTTAAAAGCTGCAGTAAATTTAATTTTGCAATTCTAAATTATAAACTATATATAAAAATTAAATGTATAATAAACAAAATGTGGTTACTAAACAAAATTTATTGTATAATACTCAGTGTACGCGTAGTCTACGCGGCTTTGAAAAAGTTCATGCTTAACACAAAACCTAAAAAAAAATACATTTCGGTTTTTTAATTATTATTATTAATGTTGTTCCGATCATATGTTTTTGGAAAGATAACTGGTTATTTTAACTGGTTACTGGAAAGATATGGTTTTTGAGATTAGAGATATCATGCGAGTCAAAACAACACCTTTTTTTATAGGCCAATGTTGTTTTTTAAAACTTATTAATATTTGTTGATCTCTTTCTCGTGCTGAATCTTTTCATGGCCTAGTTTTGTGTTAAGTAATATCCTAAATTATTATTTTTAGATGGTAGCCATATTTCCCTATTTGGATACTACTTGGTGCATTGCAACCAAATGGACGCGACACATGGGTTTCTGCATCACCTACACCTCGCTGCTTATGAAAACATGGCGGTAGGACTAGCTTTAAATTGACTATTAACTTCTTCTGATCATTAACTTGATTTACAGCGTTTCTTTGACATATCGCGTCAAGTCGGCACACAAAATAAAACTAAATGACCAGCAACTTCTGCAGTGGATGGTACCCATTCTATTGGTTATGCTCATCTACTTGGGAACTTGGACCATTTCGGCCACGCCCAACGCTGAAGTAGTAAGTAATCGAAATCGAAATATAGAATACTTCAACATAAAAAACATCAGCACGGATATATGAACTGCGGATTGCTGAGGTTTGCTTTCACTCTTATTAAATTTGAAATGCCTTAAATTACATACTAAGAAACCATTTGGCAACTTTTTTATCGACGTTGATGATAGTATTATACTTGAATACCTATTAACTAAGATAAACTTAACATTTTGATTACTATCAATTGCTATTATTATGGTTAATATTTCTCAACATTTTAATGTATATCCCTATTTAAGATCTTAGACCAGAGTCGTTTGAAGTTCAAGCAGTGTTCTTACAATTGGTGGGATCACAGTTTGGCCATCGGAGAAGTATTCTTTTTGGCCTGGGGAATCCGGGTTTGCTATAACGTGCGGAATGCGGAGAGTCTTTATAACGAGGCGCGGCTGATCTCGTATGCCATCTACAACATAGCCCTCGTCAATATCGCCATGGTGGTGTTTCAGTAAGTGTACTCTAAAAATAGTTAAGTCACTGTGAACGGCAGTCCACATAGTGACGAATTGTATTAAGCTGAAAAAAATGCAAACGATGAAAAGCGGTGACTAGTCGGGTTCACTCCCCAGGGAGTGTAAGTGTGATGAAAGTTAATTGGAATAAATCGTTGTTATAGAAGAAATTAAAATATAACCAACGTATGACCTCGAGTAATTCAATAACATAATATTATTATTTAAAATGTTTTATTAAGTTTAAGTTTTTTTAAACGTTGCAGTTATTGTTTTGTTTATTTTAAAGCTTTCTATTTACTTAAATTAAGAACCGACGAGTTAAAATTGATTAAATATTCCCTTTTGCTTGTTTTGATCTAAATGGAAATCCCCAACTGACGAAGCTCCTTTCCGTCCAGAATTGAATTATAACAGTTGACACTTGTTTGGTAATCCACGGAGTGGAGCACGCGTCGCGTCCATTAGGGAATGCAAAGCTGCCCGTCTTACGCGGCCCGCTTTTAATTAAATTCCTTTGCTTTGTGCGCGCTCGTGCCCGCGTTGTAATCCTTTTTGTTCGCCTGTAAGGACTCGCATCCCGGACCCGTATGAACGGGCTTCCATCTGTCTGTCGCTTTGTTTACATAGACATTCCTGGGCATTCTCCCCGGTTTCAAGTTGTCTGCTGGCTTCATGCGTTTCGCAACGGAAATCCCTTTGATGAAGTCCTTATAATTAATGCAATTTGTTCGAAAACTTGGTGGCCCACGCACCTTAACCAATTCCAATCGGGTTGGGTTAGTATTGTAGTTAGCCGTAATTGGCTGTTCTACAAAAGGTGTCGGAATATTTTTTCAGAATTCTTTTGTGGATAAAAAAAGAGATAGTGTGAAAGAAGAAAATAATTAAACTTAAATATATACGAATTTCATCTAACTTTCAAGAAATTGATATGCTTCTTTGAAACTTTGAAACTGCTATTTCTGAAACATTTTATTTCTAAATATAATATAATGTTAGATTTTTCTGAATGTAAACCCCTAACTAGAAGCTAGTATTTTTCGGACGGCAAAACGAAAATGACGAAGAAAAGTTTACACATGTTTTTTTTAGGCTTGGCTTCAGTGCCTACAAATGTCTTTAAAATATATGTACATATTTGTTGTTAAAAAATTAAACATGATATAGAGAAAACCATGTTCTGTTTCCCAAAAATTAGACTTTATGTTAACTTTTTCACAAAGATTACAAACAAGAATTTTAACATGACATCGAGAAATCAGCCCTTAGCCATTTTTCTTTATTGAAAATCCTATATTTTAATTTTTTGTTTTTTTTTTTCATTCCCAACAGTGTTATGCTCTTTCCGAACGCCGGACCCGATTACAAATATATGCTGGGATTTGTGCGCACCCAACTTTCGACGACCACCACCATTGCCCTTGTTTTTGGGCCAAAAATTTTGCGGGTTTTTAAGGGACAGGGCGACAAGTGGGATCAGAAGGCCAAGGTGAGGAGCATAACAGCTTCCTTTTCCCTAAATGGTGTGGGACTGGTTCCAGAAGAGTCGCCTGACCTATATCAGGAGAATGAGGAACTTAAGGTAAGCTGTAAATTACAGAGAATAAATTAAGCAATAATGAAATTTCACTCTTCATCAGGAACAAGTCCAAAAGTTGGCCCACCAAATCGAGTTCATGAAGACTGTGCACATGCAGATGAACAACAGGCATCTGAAGCCAAAGCCGGGCGGATATTTTACCATAACGTCAACCTCTTTTCAAGCGCCCTATAGCAAGAACACGGTTTCCACGGCGCAAACGCAAACTGGCAAAGATGAGACCAGGTTAGTCATAAACAAATTAACATTAATTATACAATTATCCAAAATAATATTGCTTTCGCAAAAACCGAACCAAAATGTCAGCCACCCATTCATGAGTATTCCAAGAAAAGTTCTTGCTCCGACATACAAATTTTTGCGGGATTGGAATTTAATCCATTATAAAAATTAAGCACCTTCCTTAGTCGCAGAGGATTTCTTCTTTTAAAACCCCTACAAGGGTCTATCAAATTAAATTGGCTGTATTATTAAGCCACATATTATAGATAGAACAACATTTTTTAAATGTGAACTAAAACATAAGTACAGGAAGGAAAATGTTAAATATTTAAGTTACCATGTTGTTGATATTATTATATTAATCACAAATGGAACAATGTCTGTAATTTTTCATTCCTTATAAACTATATTGAAATTCCTTAATCACTTGTATTTTAAAAAAGAGCCATACCAAGAGGCCAATACATCTATTCATTTTTAGTTACTTTATTTGTATTCATCTTAAACGTTTTCCAGTGGCACGCCAACCAAATTAAAATCGCCCAAGGGCAAAGTCTGACGAGGTCAACGAAGTGTTAAAGATTGCTCAATAGAAGTGGATGGGAGGCAGGGCATCGCCAACTTGATGGAGGATGCCATTGAATTTAATTTCCACGAAGCAGAATCGGAGGAGATGATTGCCCCAAAGGGAGAGCAGACAGGATCAGAGGAGGCGGCCTTAATCGAACAGTTTCGCCGCCTCTTTGCGCCCATTTTGGATGATAGTTTGAGTCTGTACTACCAACTCAACGAACTGGATAACGCGGAGCACGTGAGGATTCACCAAACGGTGGCCCAGTTGCATGAGCTGACCAGCAGCGAGGAGGAGACGATGGTGACCCAGGTGAACAGCCCATCGCCGCCGGTGGATGTGGAGCTACTGCTGCCACTTTCGAGTGGCACTTCCACATCCAGTAGCTCCCTCTACGCCATTCACACCCCCTCGCCGGCTCATCCCAGCGGTGTTCTCCTGATGCCCCAGTTTCTGGAGTCACCAATGCTGTCCTGCAGTGATGCCATCACGATCACCGAGCAGGTGCAGCTGCATAGTCCTCCGCATCACCTGCAGGTCCTCGAGGATGAGAACAACACATCCTGTTCGCTGTCATCGAATCTGACGGATAGCAAAACCCTGGATGGTCGTACCCCCATTGTGGTGTGATGGATTCGCAACCCCCGATCTGCTTAACTTGTGATTTTGTTTACACAGTCTTAAGAACAACAGCAAACAGTTAGCGAAAAATAAACAGCTTAATGTTTAATATAGTCTTAAATAATGTTTGTGTGTATGTGTCTGTCAAAGTTGTTTAAATATTAGATGCGTTTATGCGGAAGAGACTACATTAAATTCCTGCTAAATTTAGATTAACAATAATTTTCTTGTGTCAAATATTTCAAATGCCTTCTCAATTAAATCGAAGGACAAGAAATTGTTATAAATATCCCACCAATTAATTATCTAATTTCATGATTTTTTTTTAATTTAAAATGTTATTTCGGTTTAATTTGAACTGTTATTTTCTCAAAAATAAATATGTTTAAACGTGAATTTGGCCCTATGTTTTCGCACTTAACGAATTAGTACTTTTAGAAGCTTCTCATCATCTTCAACTTTCTTACCGCATAAGCGCATTATTACTGTATATGTTAAACTGCTTAAATTTGGCTTTTTAACCCTACACCAAACCATTTTCCCATCATCCATGATCTCCATCGGTTTTGAAAAAAGGATCAACATTGAGCAAATTTTTCTCACTTCGTTCGGAAGGAAATTGTATAGGGAACGGTAGACAGCCAGATGGTCTGATGGAACTCAAAGAGTACATCGATAGCCCTTAGGGACTTGGCATTAACAAATCTCATTTATCTCTCATGCACCTAGCGAAATAAATTGTATTTTCCTTGTTCTTTCTGCACTCATTCATAGAAAATTATTCTTTGCTTTGTAGTTAAATTTACATTATTTCCATCATCATATAATCGCTATAAATTACCACCTAAGCTTAGCAAAGAGTCGATTTTAGTGTACAAGATGACATATGCATATATACGGATATAATACATGAATAAATTGAAATTTTAGCGTACTATTTTAAGATGAGAAAGTGTTAACAGACGCGCAATTCTTCTTCATACAGTTGGGCAATACGTATTATGAAAAGTATTCAGATTATACAAACATAAAAACAAAAGAAAATTATAACTGAATACAAAATATAACATATTTATATAGTAAGTTAATGTTAAATTAAAATATTGTAATGGAAACAACATGACAAGATCAAAGACAAAGAAAAATAAATGTTTTAAAAATTAAATGCTTTAGTTGTTTCATTATGGAAATTTATAAGTGCATGTTTGGAAAATAAACCATACAAATATAGAACATTTTTATGTTTCTAACTCCCTTTTCCTTTAACTACAAACACACGCCGTGCCAATTTCACTGAAATATAGAAATTATTTTTTAAGTTTATACGAGAACCCAAAATTTTCCATGCTGAGGCAGGAGCTGCTGGACGAGGAGTTCGAGTGCCTGCGTCGAATTGCATCGGCTATTTGTCAGAATCTCGGAAGGCCAAAAGATCGTGAGATATGCCGGAGCACCTTGGAGGAGCTGGCCAAGTTCCAGCAGAGTCCGTCGGTCAGGATCAAGGAGAATGTGCACAAGTTCATGGTGTTCTATCTAAAAGTGCTAAGATGGACCCAAAAGAATCAGCCCCTGGATTTATATCGGCAATGGGTGAGTTTGTAGCCGAAGATTGGTAAGAGATCTTAAAGTCTAACTCTAATTTTTAGTATGGCCAAAACCTGGGTAGTGATTGGAAGTCTCCCTCATCGACCGCCAATTCTACGGATGAAGTGCGAGTTTGGTTGGAGGAGGGAAAGACTTTTTATGCCATGAAAACTTTCGAGGATGGTTCCACCACCGTTTTCACCGCAGTGGCCAAAGATCCGAGGGCCGGTTGGTCAGAATATGGTCTAAAAACCCTGATGGAATCTCAAAATGGTTGCGCTTTGAGCCAAAATGATAAATAAAACAAACGGTTTTCCTCTAAATATATTTATTTCGATTGGTGTTTTTTTTAACTTCGAGATTCTGAGATAAGGATTTTTAAATCTGGACAATTTTTGTAGTTTATGGTCGTGATTGGGCAGGTCTTTAATCAAATGATTATAAAAGCGAAAATTAGCCTTTATATAAATAATATAAATGTAAAAACAGATCATTACTTTTTGTGCACAAAGACTAATCATTAACAAAAGTACATCAGAAAACACAAAATAAAATGTTATGCAAAAATTAAGAATACTTTATGCTTTTAAAATATTTTAAATTGACCTGCCGCGGTGTTCCTTTATCTAGCTTTTTGTTTACAAGCGTGTACAACTGTTTGACTTAATTATAGATATGTATAAGTGGACGGATGGTGTCTCTGCTAATCAAAGCCATTCTCAGTTTAGAAATTATTAAAATTAGAGTGGTGAAAAGGCACTTTTTGTCTCTTTTTGGTGGGGACCGTGGAACTGGCTTTCCTATTAACTTCTCGCAATCCTTGAGACGACGCCAATCAGCAAGAAGCCCAACAGAAGCTGCAGGGATCCATGCATTTGAATCAGGCTGGATCCATTGCAGCTGTCGCTGGAGCAGTAGCACTCTTCCCAGTAAACGCCGTTCTCGTAGACGCCCCAATTGCAGACGCCTGTCACTCCGGTATCGGAAACGGAGGCACACCTTCGGATGACCTGTCGCCAACGACCGTCCCCTAAGGAAAAAATTTAAAAAATGCCATCAATAATTACTCAGTTAAGCAACAATTGTTTTACAATATTACTATCATAATGTGTTTTTGTCGCCGACAGTCGTTATTTTTTCACGACTTTCCAAAATATTAATTTTAATTTTTAAGAGCCAGCTTTTTTCTATGATAAGAATAAGTTAAAATAAAGCTAAGAATAAAAACATTTGGATAAGGAATAAAGGTATGGACAATAAAGGAAAAATGGTATGTGGGATCAAACTGAATTTGGATTAAAGAGATTTCTGTAACACCTGTCCCAAACAAGCATTTAATTTTCTGGAACCACATGGTCAAAACCACACTATCACTATATTCACTGAGAAATACTTGTGAAGCAAATAAAAGATAACTCGCCGAGAATCATCCTGCACAAAATTAACGTAAACGTATTCGAATGAGTAAATAAAATAGTATAAAAGAATAAAAATGTTCAAAACTCCTCTAGATGTATCTTGTCTTAACAAAGCTTTAACAACAGTGGGATTTACTAGAATGCCATGGTATGTAAGTGCATGTAGGAACCTAATCAGTCCTTTATGGAGTACAATCTCCAAACTCACAGATAAATCCACGAGGACCCTGCTGCACGACCTTCATGCAGAAGGATCCTGGCATGTGGCTCTCGTCGCTGTTGCACTCGATGGAGATGTGCTCCGTGCGGTTGAATCGCTTGTAGGCGCCGCAGCTGTCGTGTCCTTTGCGATCCTGGTCCGAGGAGCACTGAAAGCACCGAATGGCCCAGCTGCCTGCAAAAATTCGCTGATTAATTCCAATTGTTCTGTATGAAAACACTTGCAAAGCCACACCCAAAGCCGCGATTAAAAGGTGGCTTTTGGGATTTTAACAACTGGGGCGTGTTTACCCACCGCAAATGGCCAGCGTCAGCAGCAGAAAGGCGCAGCGGGTCAGGGCGGTCATCTTCAGCTTAATACTGCTTTGTGCGCTTCGGTTAAATTAAATAAAATGCGATTAAACCAAATAAATAACAAATTGGATGGACTGATAGAGCTGGAACCAAAATCGCTGTTTGTTTGATACTATCGATGGCTTCAGAAATCTCGCCACTCGATGTTTTACAATCGATTATTTTCACTCGATCTACGAAGGCGTTACTTTTTTCGAATCACATGTGCATTAATTAACTAGATGAAACTATATTTTTAGCTTGCTGAACATTTTAATTGAACCGTATGGTTACAGTGTGTCTCTTATTCGATTTAACGACAGAAACTATTCAATTTGACTTGATTTGCCCTCAACAGCTACAGAATATAGGCTTTCTATGTACAAAGCCTACAAACTGAATCTACTTATAAACTAAGCGAGTAGATTGCACTGCATTAAAAAACGCGTTATTAAAGTAACTTGACTCACAGTTATAAAGCAATTTTTTTATATATTGTATAAAATTTAAAACTGCATTTTAAAAAAATCTAAACGGTAAGCAATATTGCCACACTGTTTTTTTTTAACCATGGTTGGTGTCTGTGATAAAACCAGTGGTTGGCTTAAGACCACGTTGGTATTATTAAACGCTCAAGCCACAGCCACACTACTATTTACACGCCCAAAAATTCAATCAATTGAAACGCAACGAAAACCCAAATAAAAGGATGAAATTGCTGGAGAAATTTGCGCTGGCCGTGGTTGTGCTCTGCTGTCTGCTGCAAGTGGGTGAGTTTTCGCCAGGAAATGCGACTGCGCCTGCGCAACCTTTGCCGACCGACTAACACCCGAAAATTTGTGACTTTGCAGGCCAGGCGATCAAATGCTGGGATTGCCGCAGCGACAACGACCCGAAATGCGGGGATCCATTCGACAACAGCACCCTGGCGATCACGGACTGCCAGCAGGCACCGGAATTGGAGCACTTGAAGGGCGTGCGACCGACGATGTGCCGCAAAATCCGGCAGAAGGTGCACGGGGAGTGGCGCTACTTCCGGAGCTGCGCCTACATGGGTGAGCCAGGAATCGAGGGCGACGAACGCTTCTGTCTGATGCGAACCGGCAGCTACAACATCTTCATGGAGTTCTGCACGTGCAACAGCAAGGACGGCTGCAATTCGGCGGGAGTTCATCGCCTGGGCTGGATGGGAGTCCTTTCCGGAACACTCGTTTCCGTTCTTGTGGCGCATCTACTGCGGCAATAGTTGGAGGGATTTACATCCTCCAGTTGTAGCCAATGACACGCCTTCTCTCGTCGCTCGTTAGAAACAAGACTGTCTTGACTTTAAAAGGCTTTTTTGAGATGTTAAAATTACTATTTTTGATTCTATAATGCATCATGTTTGCTAAGAACATCAGAATTGAGTGCAGGAAAACAGGTTTAACAAGATTTTAAGCTTACTTTTAAAGCTTTTTATCATTCATTCCAAAAATTAAGTAATCCACATAGTTTTTTTTTCATTTAATGACCTTTTATCTAAAAACATGATTTTAGAGCTATGTCCCATTCATAAAAACACAATAAGGCTTCAACAGCAGTATTAAATCATAAATAATGTGCTTTCCACATTGGATAACTTTTTTGTAAGTCTGTAAAGCAGCAAAAAAGTGTAATCGCAACAGTTGCCAACTCTAAAAATTTTAAAAATCATCTTTCGATTTAATGCATTTTCTAAGAACAAAACTTTAATTTTCTGTCAAATCTGTTATTTAAACTAAGACAGTCTTGTGCAAAATGAGTGAATTGTAATCAAGTGCCTTTCTGCGAACGACTCGAATTGTAGCTTAAGCTTGAAAAACTGTTTCCGTCCGAAAATATTTACTTACGTGACATTCCCTATTTCATAAGCTCAATCTTGTAATCTCCACCTTCTACTTGTATTTTGTAACGTATTTTTACAAAGAAACGCTTAGTTTTAGTCGCCAGCAGGCTTACAAGTTTTTATTGTAATGCAAAGACAATTAGAACATTTTTAATTGAAATAAAAGATTTACACACCAATTATACAGTTATCATTATTTGAAGTTGTTTATTCTTTACATATAAGGGATGGGAAGTTAATTTCAATGTAACATATACTTAATTATTTTTTCAACAAGAAAGGAAACTTAACTTCGGGCGGAACCGAAGTTGATATACCCTTGCAGAATATTCTGTAAATTATATTCTCCAAAATAATTCATATGCGGCATTCTTAATATTTATAAAAAATCCCTTTAAAATCACCAAAGTTATGGCATTTCCAATCGTTCAATTATATGGCAACTATAGGATAAAGTCGGCCGATGGCATTTCCGATCAATCAGTTATATGCTATTAATTATGATATAGTCGCCCGATCCGGCTCATTCCGACTTATATTCTTGCAATAGAAGGACAACTTTTGGGAATGTTTCAAGCAGATAACTTTAAAACTGAGGGACTAGTTTGCGTAGAAACGGACGGACGGACAGACGGACATGGCTAGATCGACTCTCCTGGTGACTGAAATTATAATACCCTCTGCAAGGGTATAAAAACAAGTGTTAAGATTGCCAAATAACTTAAAGAACTTGTATAATGAAATGACGGATTTGCTTCTTAAAATTGAAAGATACAAAATTAGAAAAGAAAAAATGAGAGCAAGGGTTACAGGTTTTTTAATTGTAGTTAGATATTTCATTAAAACAAAATCTAAATCTTTTTAATAATCAAACACTGACTTGCCCCTTTATATAGTTACTCAATACTTTGGAACAACTCGTGATAGTAATTTGAAGCAAGCCAAATACAAAAAGGGGTCATTAGGAGAAAATACAGTTAAATTATAAAGATTTAATTCAAAATTCTGTTAATGGATTGAAATGTATAGTTTTATTTATTCATGACATTTTTTTGGGGTTTATTGGGCTGGATTTCTTATTCTTTACCCAAAACCTCAATCTGTTTGCCCAGCTGAACGACATCTTCCCCTGGAACTATATTCTGATTCTGTTGTTTGATGACTTCTCCGTCCGGAATTAGGTCCTTATTCTCCTGTGGAACGCCGTCTCCAATCAAAATATTATCCAGATTCTTCTGTTGAACGCCATCTTCTTCAGGAGGTTTATGATTCTCCTTTTGGGGGGAATCTTTTTCTGAAACTTCATCTTTATTCTCCGGATTTACAGCTTCTCCCTGATCCATGTCGTCATTCTTCTGTTGAAAGACATCTCCAGTCGGAACATTCTCCTGCTTCTCCAATTGAGATACACTCACTCGCATATCTCTGCGTACACCCCAAAAAAATTTCAAAATCTAACTTTAAACCCTAGCTGTTCGGCCATTTATGCATATATTCAACCCATTCTTTTTTTTAAACATAATTATAATTTATTGTCTTCATTGACGTATTTTTTTTGAAATTATTCAACAGTGTCTTATATTTTATTTTTAATTTTAAACTTAACACTACCAAAAAATGTACCCGCAAAAGTCTGCGTACACCTGTTTAAAACACAAATAATATTATTTTTAGTAACTGGTAGGGTATTCTTTTCTCTGCAAAACTTCCGTAAGGCGTCTCGGGATGGAAACCCCTTTTTTTTTGTCTCATTTGCAGTAATTTTCCCCTACTCCTCGAGAATCACATTCTTGAGCATTTTTTTAGATGTTATCGAGTGTCTTCGGATTTTCCTCTCAAGAAGATCCCAAAAATACTCATTTGGGCTTAGATCAGGACTTTGGGGAGGTGTTCGCAGCTGATTTATGACGTTATACAGCAGCCAAAGCATGGTATTCTGCGACGTATGCTTCGGGTCGTGGTCTTGTTGGAACCAACATTCACTTTCGAGCCCTAATTTTTCAGCACTTTCTTTTAAATTGTTTTTTAATATGTCAATATAGATTTTCTGATCCATTATTAACTCGATAAATACCAATTTTCCAACGCCACTTGCTGCCATACACCCCCACACCATTATTCCGCTTCCTCCTTGCTTTACTGTGCCAACCAAATTTTCTTAATTTGAGGCTTCTCCGCTTTTCCACCATACCAAAACCTTTCCCTTGATTCCAAATATGCAGAATTTAGTTTCGTCGGGAAATATAATCTTATTCCAGAAGTCTTGGTGTTTGGAAATATACTCATTAGTAAAGGTTAGGCGCTTTTGTCTATTGACTTCCGATATGAGAGGTTTTTTGCGGGCGACTCTGCTATGGTAGTCAGCTTTTTTATGGTCCGGCGTACAGTATCTTCGGAAACTCTTTTGGAAAATCTATCCTCGACCTTCAGCTTTGCCTGGTGAGCTGTCGTCCTTGGGTTGAGCTGAATAGATTTGATAATATTCCTCTGCTCGCGGTTTATAAGTAAAGGCGGACGGCCAGAACGAGCCTTTGGCAAGATACTTCCAGCCGAGTTGTAGTTATCTATCACTCTTTGGATGGATGAGTGGGTTCTACCAACTAAAGCACCAATTTCTCTATAAGATTTTCCATCCAAAAAACCTTTTAATATAATTTTCCACTCCTCAACAGAAATTTCCTTGCCTTTTTGTTACATGTTGCAATATGCTCGTTATTATAATGAAAAAGTTTCATTTTAACTGCGTAATGTCTATTTTTAGACATTCTAAAGTAGATCGGCGACAACAAAATTAACGGAAATCGCACAATCCTGCATTCCTCGAAGTTGAAAACTGCTGTACGCAGACTTTTGCGCGTACACTTTTTCGTAGTGTTAGGTTTAAAATTAAAAATAAAATATAACACCCTGTTGAATATTTCTAATATTTCTACGTCAATGAAGACAATAAACCATAGTTTTGTTTAAAAAAAGAATGAATAAAATACATGCATAAATGGCCGAACAATTAATGTTCAAAGTCAGATTTTGAAATTTTTTTGGGGTGTACGCAGAGATATGCGAGTGAGTGTACATCTACCTTTGTCTGATGCGCTTCGACTTCTGCCTCCTCGGATTTCAAGAAACATCTCACCAGTTTGCAGTTTAAGCCATCCAGCTTCTTACGAGCAATTCCACTTCTTTGGGATCCTTTGAGGTTGGCCTCGCGGGCTGTCGATCCCTGCGAGGCTCCACTGTAGCCAGCATTATCAACGCGACCCCTTCCGCGGAAATCTCGAACACCACGTCTGGCAACGTTTCTTCCTCGGCGATTAGCACTATTTGTGGTACTTTCCTTCTCGAAATTTCACAATTAGTTCAAATTTACTATAAAAACATCAAACTTACCATGATAAAATGTAATCAGATTTCAAATTGCTAATGGAAAACAATATCAGATATAAAAGTAAAAATTTATCTTTCGAATTGAACACAAGTGAATATGCAATGCAATTGCTTTCTCAAATGGTTTATATTTTCAATAAATTCTTACTAACAGCGTTTATTAGAGGTTTATTTAAGTTTTTGCTCTAAATTTCCTGTTGCGCAATAAAATTCAGCAACCTATTTTATAGCTTGTAAAAAATGCGTCAAAAACGTTTGTCATGGAGATGAAAGTTTAGAGAAACTTCAAATATCGGTAATAACATACACATGCAACAAGAAAATACTAAATATGTAAATATTGTTGACGGTTGAGCCTTGGTAAATAATGTTCATATCGCAAAATGCATAAATGCATAAATGTGGCACAAACTCAGTTGTATTCCTTAATTAAGCAATTTCATTAATTTGAAAGCAACATGCTCTTGTAATTAATTCTGTTCCGTTTGCAGGGTTGCATTATCGATAAAAGCCTGTCTTGGAGACCTTTTCTCCCATCTCTAATTCCTTCTTCCTTTCTTTTTGTTCGTCTTGTGCGCGTGGCTCGGATTTTAATATGTTAATTGTTTGTACTAAAAACAGTTTAAATGTTTTGGATTCTTTAGACAAACCGTGTTTGCTTTATAAGAATTGTTAGTGGGCGTTTTGTTTCGAATCTTCGTTGTGTATTTATCTTCCAATTGCGAAATATTGCAAGTCCCGTTGCCACCATCTTTTTTTTTTTAGACTTTGTCCGCCGTATTCTTTGTTTTTGTGTCAACTTTACGCTGCTTAATTGGAATACTATTTGGACCAATGGATGTAGATATCGACGGTCTCCTCGGAATGGACGTTTTTCAAAGCAATAATACACTGAACTTTAATCAGATGCGCTTGGAGCTGAGGGAATATTTCAGGTAATACAAGTAAATAAATGCAGAGGTTAATATTATAGTTGACTGAATTTGTCTACCCTACCACATACAGCTGTGAAAAAAATAATAGCACCACCTACTCAAGCTACATATGTTTAAACGGTCACTGTACCTATACTTTTTACACTATGAAAACGTTGAATACCATTTTGAAATCGAAAGACAATAAACCAACTGGAAATGAACAAATTAAGATATGTTAGATAAGATATGTTAGATATTTTATTGAAACTAAAGAAATTTGACGAAAAAAATAATAGCACCATTTTTCAAAAATGGATTTAAAACTATAACAACGACTAGTAAGTAAAAAATTCATGAGTTTTCTATAATTATACATCCAAATAAAGTGTAGATTCTTCATTTAATTTTTGGTTGTGCATCCATTATTGGCAATAACAGCCTCACAACGTCTTGGCATGGAGTCAACCAAGTCCTGGCAACGTTTAGTGGGAACATGGGTCCAAGACTCTTCCACTTCTTTCCAAAGTGATCTTACGGTGGTTGGCTTGGATGCAGCAACTGCCTTCTTGACATCGGGCCATAGATTCTCTATTGGAATAAGGTCAGGCGCAGGCCACACCAACACATTGGCAGAGTTTTTTCCGAGTCAATCCATTGCCTTTCTGCTGGTATGTTTAAGGTTTTTATCTTGTTGGAAGTGGCATTTCGTACTCTGCAAAGGGTAGCATAATCGTATCCAAAATATTTACTTACACGTCCTGATCCAGTATAGTTTTAATCCAATGTACTGGACCTACTCCATAATAGGACAAACAGGGCCATACCATCAGACTACTCCCTCCATGTTTTATGGTCTTTGTGGTGGACTGTGGCATAAAATCAGAGTTTTTGGGACTCCTGACATACGATCGAGATCCTTTTCCACCATCAGAACGACCTTACTCTCACCTGATCATTAGATATACCTCCATTTTTGAAGTGACCAATTAACATGTTCTTTGCAAACTTCATGCGCTTAGCAATATGCCTGGCATTTAAAAGTGCTAACCTTTCTGGGACTGCAGGCATTTAAGTTATGTTGTCTGAGACACTTGGGAACTGTTTCATCTGTCGCATTAATTTTAGGCTCCATTTTAAGCTCAGTAGCAGACTTGAAAGGATCCTTCTTATTCTCATGAATCAACCTTTTGGCATGTCAAGGTGTTAAGATCGTTTTTTTCCACGTGTTTTGGATTTTTTCTTATGATTTATGGCGTTTCTAATCATTTTATTGGATCATCCTACCAATCGACCTACTTTTATGTAAGAATTTCCTTCCAAAATCATTTTTTAAGAAGTTTACGCTTTTCCGCAGTGCAGTGTTTTCCACGTCCCATTTTAATGTTGTTTTTAATTTTTAAACAAAATAGTTAAAAATCAGTCCAATTTTATCAGCAGGTACTTTCTTTTAAGGCTGTTGGGCGAAATATAGGATATTCTCTAAGTAACTTGAAAGTGGTGCTATTTTTTTTCGCTGTCTTTCTGACTTTTCCACCATACCAAAACCTTTCCCTTGATTCCAAATATGCAGAATTTAGTTTCGTCGGGAAATATAATCTTATTCCAGAAGTCTTGGTGTTTGGAAATATACTCATTAGTAAAGGTTAGGCGCTTTTGTCTATTGACTTCCGATATGAGAGGTTTTTTGCGGGCGACTCTGCTATGGTAGTCAGCTTTTTTTATGGTCCGGCGTACAGTATCTTCGGAAACTCTTTTGGAAAATCTATCCTCGACCTTCAGCTTTGCCTGGTGAGCTGTCGTCCTTGGGTTGAGCTGAATAGATTTGATAATATTCCTCTGCTCGCGGTTTATAAGTAAAGGCGGACGGCCAGAACGAGCCTTTGGCAAGATACTTCCAGCCGAGTTGTAGTTATCTATCACTCTTTGGATGGATGAGTGGGTTCTACCAACTAAAGCACCAATTTCTCTATAAGATTTTCCATCCAAAAAACCTTTTAATATAATTTTCCACTCCTCAACAGAAATTTCCTTGCCTTTTTGTTACATGTTGCAATATGCTCGTTATTATAATGAAAAAGTTTCATTTTAACTGCGTAATGTCTATTTTTAGACATTCTAAAGTAGATCGGCGACAACAAAATTAACGGAAATCGCACAATCCTGCATTCCTCGAAGTTGAAAACTGCTGTACGCAGACTTTTGCGCGTACACTTTTTCGTAGTGTTAGGTTTAAAATTAAAAATAAAATATAACACCCTGTTGAATATTTCTAATATTTCTACGTCAATGAAGACAATAAACCATAGTTTTGTTTAAAAAAAGAATGAATAAAATACATGCATAAATGGCCGAACAATTAATGTTCAAAGTCAGATTTTGAAATTTTTTTGGGGTGTACGCAGAGATATGCGAGTGAGTGTACATCTACCTTTGTCTGATGCGCTTCGACTTCTGCCTCCTCGGATTTCAAGAAACATCTCACCAGTTTGCAGTTTAAGCCATCCAGCTTCTTACGAGCAATTCCACTTCTTTGGGATCCTTTGAGGTTGGCCTCGCGGGCTGTCGATCCCTGCGAGGCTCCACTGTAGCCAGCATTATCAACGCGACCCCTTCCGCGGAAATCTCGAACACCACGTCTGGCAACGTTTCTTCCTCGGCGATTAGCACTATTTGTGGTACTTTCCTTCTCGAAATTTCACAATTAGTTCAAATTTACTATAAAAACATCAAACTTACCATGATAAAATGTAATCAGATTTCAAATTGCTAATGGAAAACAATATCAGATATAAAAGTAAAAATTTATCTTTCGAATTGAACACAAGTGAATATGCAATGCAATTGCTTTCTCAAATGGTTTATATTTTCAATAAATTCTTACTAACAGCGTTTATTAGAGGTTTATTTAAGTTTTTGCTCTAAATTTCCTGTTGCGCAATAAAATTCAGCAACCTATTTTATAGCTTGTAAAAAATGCGTCAAAAACGTTTGTCATGGAGATGAAAGTTTAGAGAAACTTCAAATATCGGTAATAACATACACATGCAACAAGAAAATACTAAATATGTAAATATTGTTGACGGTTGAGCCTTGGTAAATAATGTTCATATCGCAAAATGCATAAATGCATAAATGTGGCACAAACTCAGTTGTATTCCTTAATTAAGCAATTTCATTAATTTGAAAGCAACATGCTCTTGTAATTAATTCTGTTCCGTTTGCAGGGTTGCATTATCGATAAAAGCCTGTCTTGGAGACCTTTTCTCCCATCTCTAATTCCTTCTTCCTTTCTTTTTGTTCGTCTTGTGCGCGTGGCTCGGATTTTAATATGTTAATTGTTTGTACTAAAAACAGTTTAAATGTTTTGGATTCTTTAGACAAACCGTGTTTGCTTTATAAGAATTGTTAGTGGGCGTTTTGTTTCGAATCTTCGTTGTGTATTTATCTTCCAATTGCGAAATATTGCAAGTCCCGTTGCCACCATCTTTTTTTTTTAGACTTTGTCCGCCGTATTCTTTGTTTTTGTGTCAACTTTACGCTGCTTAATTGGAATACTATTTGGACCAATGGATGTAGATATCGACGGTCTCCTCGGAATGGACGTTTTTCAAAGCAATAATACACTGAACTTTAATCAGATGCGCTTGGAGCTGAGGGAATATTTCAGGTAATACAAGTAAATAAATGCAGAGGTTAATATTATAGTTGACTGAATTTGTCTACCCTACCACATACAGCTGTGAAAAAAATAATAGCACCACCTACTCAAGCTACATATGTTTAAACGGTCACTGTACCTATACTTTTTACACTATGAAAACGTTGAATACCATTTTGAAATCGAAAGACAATAAACCAACTGGAAATGAACAAATTAAGATATGTTAGATAAGATATGTTAGATATTTTATTGAAACTAAAGAAATTTGACGAAAAAATAATAGCACCATTTTTCAAAAATGGATTTAAAACTATAACAACGACTAGTAAGTAAAAAATTCATGAGTTTTCTATAATTATACATCCAAATAAAGTGTAGATTCTTCATTTAATTTTTGGTTGTGCATCCATTATTGGCAATAACAGCCTCACAACGTCTTGGCATGGAGTCAACCAAGTCCTGGCAACGTTTAGTGGGAACATGGGTCCAAGACTCTTCCACTTCTTTCCAAAGTGATCTTACGGTGGTTGGCTTGGATGCAGCAACTGCCTTCTTGACATCGGGCCATAGATTCTCTATTGGAATAAGGTCAGGCGCAGGCCACACCAACACATTGGCAGAGTTTTTTCCGAGTCAATCCATTGCCTTTCTGCTGGTATGTTTAAGGTTTTTATCTTGTTGGAAGTGGCATTTCGTACTCTGCAAAGGGTAGCATAATCGTATCCAAAATATTTACTTACACGTCCTGATCCAGTATAGTTTTAATCCAATGTACTGGACCTACTCCATAATAGGACAAACAGGGCCATACCATCAGACTACTCCCTCCATGTTTTATGGTCTTTGTGGTGGACTGTGGCATAAAATCAGAGTTTTTGGGACTCCTGACATACGATCGAGATCCTTTTCCACCATCAGAACGACCTTACTCTCACCTGATCATTAGATATACCTCCATTTTTGAAGTGACCAATTAACATGTTCTTTGCAAACTTCATGCGCTTAGCAATATGCCTGGCATTTAAAAGTGCTAACCTTTCTGGGACTGCAGGCATTTAAGTTATGTTGTCTGAGACACTTGGGAACTGTTTCATCTGTCGCATTAATTTTAGGCTCCATTTTAAGCTCAGTAGCAGACTTGAAAGGATCCTTCTTATTCTCATGAATCAACCTTTTGGCATGTCAAGGTGTTAAGATCGTTTTTTTCCACGTGTTTTGGATTTTTCTTATGATTTATGGCGTTTCTAATCATTTTATTGGATCATCCTACCAATCGACCTACTTTTATGTAAGAATTTCCTTCCAAAATCATTTTTTAAGAAGTTTACGCTTTTCCGCAGTGCAGTGTTTTCCACGTCCCATTTTAATGTTGTTTTTAATTTTTAAACAAAATAGTTAAAAATCAGTCCAATTTTATCAGCAGGTACTTTCTTTTAAGGCTGTTGGGCGAAATATAGGATATTCTCTAAGTAACTTGAAAGTGGTGCTATTTTTTTTCGCTGTCTTTCTGACTTTTTTAATAAAAAACTAAAAAAAAATATATGTAGGTGGGATTAATTAAAACGGAAACTTTGTTTTAGACTAGAGCAATACTAAACATTAAAAAAAAAATTATTTTGAAAAAAAAACAACAACAGTAAACTAACTTTTTTTTACAATGAAAGCAGCACGATGTAGTGGTGCTATTATTTTTTTTCGCAACTGTATGTATATTAAATAAATATGTGCATTTATATATTTTGGGTCTATGCATGTCCAATTGTCGGCCCATAATATCCACCTTTTTATACTAATACACGAAATATGGAAGTTTTTGACAACAGCAAGCCATGCACTCTTTAAAAATAAATTTAATCTCTCTCAAAATAATTTTCGAAGGCTCGCGGATCGAATTATTCCTATTTCTATGAAAAAAGTTTAAGGGGCGCAGCTGTACGTTCTTATTTGGAAATCAAATATATGTAATATATTTAACATTTAATTTAAACCATTTTAGGATTATTCTTTTATTTTTTTATACCCTTGCAGAGGGTATTATAATTTTGGTCAAAAGTGTGCAACGCAGTGAAGGAGACATCTCCGACCCTATAAAGTATATATATTCTTGATCAGGATCACCTCCTGAGTTGATATAGCCATGTCCGTCTGTCCGTCTGTCTGTTTCTACGCAAACTAGTCTCTCAGTTTTAAAGCTATCGAATTGAAACTTTGCACACACCCTTCTTTCCTTTGCACGCAGTATATAAGTCGGAACGGCCGAGATCGGCCGACTATATCCTATAGCTGCCATATAACTGATTGATCGGAAATGCCATAACTTTGGTGTTTGTAAAGTTAGGAAGTTGGGATTTTCTATGGGTTTTATAATTGGCCAATCAATCCGACCTACCAAATTTCATAAGGATCGGCCGACTATATCCTATAGCTGCCATATAACTGAACGATTGGAAATGCCATAACTTTGATGTTTTTAAAGTTAGGAAGTTGGGATTTTTTATGAGTATTAAGAATGCATCATATGAATAATTTTGGAGAATATAATTTACAGAGTATTCTGCAAGGGTATATCAACTTCGGCTCCGCCCGAAGTTAGCTTTCCTTTCTTGTTTATGACTAGAGCCACTTTTAAAAAAAAAAAGCTATCTTATGACCAATTTATATTATTGTAGAAAAACAATGTTCAATTAATATTAATTAAAGTATTACAAAAAATAAAAACTTACGAAAATATGAAAAAAATCGTTTGCCCACTCCTTAAAAATCCTTATTTCGAAATAATACAAAATGCCCATGTTTGCCCAACTTTTAAGAAGTAAGAAATAAAAAAAATAATTTTGACCGACTCTAAAAAATAAACATATGGCTTCTTTTGCTTTAATAAAAACCGCCATGAATGCATAGATTTCTTAATTCAATTTAAATTTTACAAAAAAAAACCTGATGTTGACCAAACATGACTTATTCTGCCAAAAATTTAAAAACCGTTACTTTGAAAAAATATATTTGCCCACATGGGTTTTTTTATTTACAACTTTTTAAGAGGACAACATGGACATTTTTATTATTTTTTTTTTTTGTTAAAAAAATAGTCGTTTTAAGAGAGGAAAAACGTTTTCTGTCAAAATGAACTATTTTTATGAGTTGGTTAAACGATTTCTCTTGTGATTTAAGAGTTTTCAAAAACATACAAACTTTCAGTTTTAATGGCAATCATGAAAGTTTGACTTTATCAAAATTCTAGAATTGTTAAGTTAAGGCTTGACTAAGATTTTACGTTGGAATATAGAAAACATTTTATTATTATAGCAAAAACCTGCTTTTAAGTTTGGTTTAAGGTTTAAGTCTGGCTTATGCCAATTACAGTTTCGGAAAATGTTATACAAACAACCTCTGACCTTTATTTAATTTTGTTTAAGACTTTAATTAACAATTTAAATTTTTTTTACAGGTACGTTATCAATATTTATTTTTTAAATTCCTGGTTCGGTTTTGAAATCGCCTCACAAGCTCATATGAAGGGCGAAAATCGCCAGGATGGTGGTTGCACTGATAGCTAAAAAGCGTCCCGCTCCGGAGGCGTTGCACAAGTCACCTTTGCAGGTGAAGCAGCTGTCCACCTGGCGACTGTGGGTCACCGTGCACTCGTTCTCCTTCTGCCCGATGGTTGCAAAGTGACAGTCCCGAGATACAATAGTTCCAGCACGGTCTGTGGAGTAACATTTATCAATTATTAAATCTGCATAAAATATTTTTTTGATAATAGAATCACTATGAATAAAGTCCTAAAATTTTTAAGAAACTGTAAGAAAAACTATATAAATAGTCAACTGGACGTAGTGATTGGAAATTCGTAATTTCATGCTCGCCAGATTTTTAAATTTTAAATTTGTTGTTTTTAAAAAATTTAATATTTTTATATTAAACTAAATAATTGGATTAAGAGTGCTAGTATAAATTAAATATTTTATTTGTCAATATACTACATTTTTTAACCCTTTGAACAAGCCGCCATACAACTCGTAGGAAATCGACTGCAGTTGAACAAATAAAAAATGCAAATATTGCATCTTTTACAAAAACTATCCACCTTAGTCATTATTCACACTGATCCTAACAATGTTTTACAAATTGCACATCGGCATGTGCTAAAGTATAGAAAGTTATTCACAACTTTATAAACTTCATACAGTTAAAAAAAAAAATACAAATGATTTTAAAAATATCGTTTACAACTGGGACAAAAAATGTGTCATTTTTTAAAACGGTCATTACATAATTTTTTTGATTATTATGGCTTAAAATTTTATCTAAATTATTTTATTTTTTTTTTGTAAATAAACCTTTACACTACATTTATTTTATAAATTTGATTTGTAAAGATAAAGCACTACATTATAGGCACTTAAACTTTTATAATTGCTATTTTCTCGATTCCTAAGGTGAATATATATATATGTCGTCTTTGAATTTTGCTTTATTATATTTAGTATAAAGTATTTATCTAACAGTTGCATAAATTTTATTATTTATTTTACGAATGAATTGTAATACTATATTTCTCGAGTTTTTAAGCCCTATAGTTTTACGAATGAGAAACGCACTGTATTTGCTTTGCATACGATTTCACAGTTTGTGTTTTGTTTGCCATATGTTAATTGGAACTCGCCCCCTCCCTTCCCGATCTTGTCTAGTTTACCCGGGTGACATCACGTCTCTTTAAAGTGTTTATAGCGTTCAAGGTGCGTGCGCCTCTAATATTGGAATCAATATGCAAGACGGGATCTCCGTGGGATTTCACTCACCGCTCGTAACCACCTTGTTGCACCTGGTCACCGGCTGCAGTTGATCCATGGTGTTCGGTTTGGGCACACTATCGCAATCCACGGCGCGGATGTTGGAGGCGGCATCGATCTTATCCTTGGCGCAGTTGATATCCGTCAGGGATTTGCACTGGTAGCATTTGATGGCCGAGGCTAGAGACAGAAATTAATATAAATCAGTTAGTATTTATTAATTCACTCCAAAGGCTTGCTCAAGGTCGCCGATTTGAATTTGCTTTGCTTGTAACCAGTTTGAGATTTCCATTTCCCTCTCGGTCTCACTCGTTTGGCTTATAAAACGCCCTCAGAGAAATAAATTTAAATCAACTCCCATAAGATTCTCCTGTAATTTTTCGACAATGAAGTCATTTCTATATCCAAATTAAAAGCGTATCCAAAAGTGAATATTTGTTTAAAATATTTTTGAGCTGCCTGATATTGTGTTTATACATTAAATCGTTTTGTCACGTCCTCTATTGTTGAATGACGTGATAACTTATTTCGGATGACAATATTTTTTTGTTTTGGTATTTTATGAAAATTTGTCAACGTCAAAAAAATTTTCCATGTTTTGGAATCTTCACGAATTTGATCCTAATTAAATAATGAAGCTCTTGTTTCTTTTTTACATATTAATAAACCATTTCTGTAAAATAGAGTTGTACTTCTAAGTTTTTCTTAATAACAACACCTGTAACTATATTTCTTTTATAACAACCTATTTTTAAAATCACTTTTCTAAGTTTTCACTCAAAACTGGTTTTCTTTTGACACAGATTAATAAATTTTTGTATTTACATTTATGTAAATTTCCGTTAGAGATGTCACCAAAAATGGAGAGTCACTTACCAGTGTGCATCAAGCACAAAGCAATAAAGAGAACACCAATCACCTGTTTCAGCATATTTGCTAAAATATTTAATTTTTAATTAAGTTTGAAAATGTACGAAAAAGCTTTCGTTCCGATCAGTTTGGCAGACGTTGAACAACTGAAATTAGATTTGAATTTGTTTTTGCGCTCTCCCCAAATTGCAACTTGTTTTGAAGAAAAGCTTTGCTCATTCACTCGCTAACTCTCGTTAGTTGAGTGAAACTCGGAACGAGTTTTTGGTTAGTTATGTCAAATAAGCGATCCACGCATTGGGGTCGCTGAAAATAAAACTGTTTTGTTTTGATCAGCAGCTTCGTAGGCGGTCGAATACTTTTATGTACTGCCGTTATGGGTCCATTGATTGTTGTTGGTGGTAGAATTGACAACGGTTGAACTGTGGGACTTGCTCTTCAATTAAAAATAGTACGAATTATGAAATTAAATTGGTTAGTGACACAGTTCTCTGATTTGGGTTATTGACCTTTTGTTGCGAGGTGAGAGATACGGTTTCGCTTAAAGTAAAAGCCCCGACAATGATGTACTTTTTATGAACTGAAATAAACATTATTTTATGCACATATACTTGCTATGAGGTATCATTTTCCTTAAATGAGTAAACAAAATATAAATTTAAAAATTTAAACTATTTATAATAATTACCCCTTTTATTTAAAGTTAATTTCACGAAGAAATATGAAAGAAAAGAATTGTGCTTGCTTTGAGATAATTATTGAAATTACTTAACTCAGTAATAGAAATGAAATTGGCTTTTAAGCAGCTTTTTTATAGGGTTTGTTACACATTTCCAGACGAAACTCCGCATTTTCCCCTCTTTTTATACCCTTGCAGAAGGTATTATCATTTCAGTCAAAAGCAGCACCATAGCTTGCATATAAACGATCAAAAAATGCATCAAAAAGTCAAGCTATCTGTGTTTAAGCATTAAAATCAAAGTTTTGCTAATTTTTCTAACAGCTGAAAGGGTATATAAACTTCGACTTGCCGAGGCTGGCTTCCCTTCTTGTTAACTTTAATTCATGAATCTTAAATTTTTATTGATACGTTTAGGCTTTATTCAAATTATGAATATAAACTTGATACAATCAACTTTAGTTGTTAGTGCTTACAAAATTATCAAATATGGTGCACCATCCGATTTAGTTATTTGTAGGTTAATATCTCCGCCAGAGTTCGAAGACCTTGGGCAGTTTTATTAATCCTTTCTTTCTCTATTGTTGTCTTGTCCCCTGAAATTTTACTTGTAGTCTGCTCTTCTACTTTTGTTGTAAAAACTGATTGCTTATTTTGTTGCATGTTATTTGAGCAATCGACTCATTGAATCTCTCCCCTTTGTCTGTTTCCATGGCAATTTTGGTCTAAGAGGAAACTCTGCGATAAGAGCATCCGTCTGGGGAGCAACAAATCCTTTTTGAGAGGAAAAAAGAGAATCCGCATTGAAGTTGCAAAATTGCCTTTTAAAAAGAATTATAAATCTTTTCGGTCACCCTTTACTTTAAAAGCTGCATACGAACGACTCGTCACATTTTAGCAGCTTCTTCATGCTAAATTAACTTCTCGCTTCTAAAAGCTTTTTGAGCTTACTTTTGTGGAGTAAAATTTAACAGTGTAGCGAAACTTGTTTCAATTGCGCAGCAAAAACCAAAATCTAACTCATTGAGTTTGTCAATTTGTCCCACACTGAGTACAGTTCAGCAACCGATGGAAAAATTTGTTCAAATTACAATACATATTATAAGCCGAAAAAATGCAACGACATGGAGATTAATATTTATAGGGTTTGTTTGGTAAAAATTGGTTTTGAAAATAGTTGAATTTGTTTACAATTTCGCCGTGTGCAAAATACAGAAAACTCGAGTTTGTCGGATATGAATGATATTCTCTAATAAACTATCATTAAACCATTTTACCTCCTCAAATATTTTCTCAAAACTGTAAAATTGCAGGAAATTTAAACGATTACTAAAAATATATAAGAACCTCATAGAACAATTAAAAAAATATATAAATAAATATAAGATAATTATGAAACAATAACTGTTTGTCACTTTGTTTTTATAAAAGTTAAACCCCCATAAATCTTTGATATTTCGGCCTCCCCTTCAACCATCTAGCATGCCATACTTTCCGATTGTCCATAATTAGGGAATGGCTATTGGGTCGATGTGGTTTCAATGTGACCGATACTCTGTGTTTCGAATATTGCAATACAAATTGAAAAAAACAGCATAAATGGGTTTAGTTTTTAGGGAGGGGGGAATAGAAAATTTTCAATTTCCGGCCTCTCAGCGGGTTTTTGCCGTTCATTGTTCAAATATTTTGCATTCAATTGCATTGTCAAGCCGCCAATTTGCCACATCATTATGAATGCCGACACGATGGGTTTTTGGGCGCAGGGAGTCGAATGTTGTGGTTCCTGATTTATACAATATCTTAAGCGGATTTGCTTTTCCCATTTTCGCTACATCTCCATCTCACTTTTCTCAGCTTTCTTCTGTGGTCAGCTGCAGCAGCAAATTCTGATTGAATTTCTTTTATCTTTTTTTTTTCCGCCACCGTATAGCGAGCATAGAATTTTTGCTATTATATTTTAGATGAGGAGAGGGTATGGAAGTTGCAGTTGCATCCTTCGTCGACTTATTTCTCTGGAGATGTTTGCGTTGGCTTAGAATTCAATTATATATTGGGGAAAAGCACGGCTAAAAGTGAATGGAAATTGCAAAACCGACTGCAAAGTAACTTTATGGATACCCTCTATCTCTTAAAATGATTTATGTATTGGCAAATAAAATAAAGCATCGGAAAAAATCTTTTTTTATTAACTTACGGTTTCTCTTATGAAAAATATATTATCCATTTATTCGGATCTTATTGCAAACAGGCTATTAAAAAAAAGAAAAATATGTTTTATGAAATGTGTTTTTGGGGAAATTCTTTTTACCAAAATAATTTATTTTAACAGTAAACTACAATTTCAGGGCAAATAGAAAACCAGCTATTGTAGCAGCATTTTCCGTTTGTCTGCATTGTTATTGGTTGTTATCAACATTATCATCAGGATGAGGTTGATGTGACCAGGCCCTCTCCCTTCCACATTTTTACTCCTGTATCGGGACCAGTTGCTCCAGGTTGTATCTGGAGTCCAGTGTCCTGTTGCCTGTTGCTGACTATTTTTCGCAATATGATATTTATAGCTATTTCATACTTATTATATTCAATCTGCTTTTCGTTGCACTCGGACAGCAACAAATTGGAGAAAATCCCTTCAACGAAATTTGACTTGCTTTGCACAATTTTAATAAGGTCGGGGCAGAGGGATCCAGCTCGTCTTCCTTTTTGGTTTGCTTCGGCTGAGTCTGGTCTGGCCAATTGTCATTTCATTTGGAAAACTTGCTCTACCAGAAACGAGCTGAAAAATTTCAATTTCGTCTCAGGATTTTCCTGCATTTAATGGCGGGGAAGAAGGATCGAGGAAGCAAAGTCCATTACCAAAAACATAAACAAATTGTTTGGCACTTTGCAGGGAAACTAAAACACGCCCATCTAATCTGTTCAATAACTTGGAAAATCATTGCCAATAAATCAAAATGACTTTGCAGGATGTGTGTAGTATCCGAGCTCCGAGGCAGGCGAACGATAAGAAATCAATGTCTGGCCATTGTTGGCTGAACTTGAAGGGTCTTTAAGTCCTCGCACTTGTAGGGAAATTTAAAATTCAACACTTCGGGGGCGGCATAAATTGCACATTCTATTTTACGCAACATCAGCAGAAAATCCGGAGAATGAAAAGGCAAAAGAAATCCATTTCTCAACCCTCGCTTCACTTGGAGTTTATGTACTAAATTGTGCCTCCGGGCTGTTTAAGGTTAACGTTCGCTCCTTCGCTTATTTTTCTAGATTTTTAACGCTGCAGTTAACACATCATTTTTCGGGGCATTGTTTCGGTCGCCTTCCATTATCTTTCACTTGCGATCTAATGAAGTGTGCAAAGTGTTGTCTGCCCAACCTTAAGCCCCCACCTCGATGTGTATATTTGTATGCATTGCGAGGGAGTCTCCATTAGCAGATGCGTAGGAAATTTCTGCTTTTAAAGAGGGATGAAAATGTATATTTATTATACCCTTGAAGAAACTATTGTAATCTTACTCTATTCCGACCAAGATGATCAGTTGACTCGGGCTATCATACATGATTCTGCCCAAACTGAAACTTCTCCACACAAAAAATCGAAAAATGAATAAGAAAATCGTTAATAAGATAACCTATTTAGCATTCAATAATAACATTTTTTAATATTAGTTTTTCTTTTTGGTAGAAAGAGCATTTTATGGAAACGTGTGATTATTTATATAGCGCAGCTTTAAGTTTTAAACCCCTTTGTGGCTGCCTCTGCCTTATTCAAAATGAGCCCCTGACCACTCCTCATTTATGCACCGCTCCACCCAAAGCCCCATCCCATTCCAGATACCCAAAACTTGGAGCTGCTGAACTGCTGCTGCTGTCCACGTTTAATGTCACTGGCAAAGTCGCAAATTGCTGTGCATGAGCTTTTTATGTTCATGCAAATGTCACCAACTGCACCACTTTCTGATGGAGCTTCGCCAGTGCTATCCCGCCTCTTTTGGCGACGTTCCCTGTTTCCACCATGAAGACTCGAAACAACACTGAAAGATTTATATATATCTTTATATTATATCTATTGTTTATGTATATATTGTTTATAAATAACAATGTACTTAAAGATACATAACTTCATTATAATTTGGGGGTTCAAATATCAATTGCCTAAAGAGATAAGCAGAAAAGAGTTAGGTATATAGATTTATAAGTGGCAGCCAAAGTTCTTGTGGAAAATGTTATTTTCCTTAATGAATTCACTCAATTAATCCCTCCTCTTTTGACACACAACCTAAATTTTGTCAGGAAGAACCACTTTAACTACTAATTATGGACATGGCAAAACTCTGTTAGTAAACACATGCCGTCTGAAATAGATTCCGATGGTCACTTAGTAGTTCTGCGTAGAACGTGCAAAATAAATATGAAGGAATACCACAAGGTTGCCTTGTCTATGTTAAAGAGTACAAATAATTTAA